CTTCCTGAGTCACTGGGATTACAGATGTATACCACCATGCCCAACTGTCTGCTAAAGTTTTGGATAGGGAATTGTGGACATAAAGACTGGATACAAAAAAACCAATAAGCACTTGAAAAGATATGCGATCACATTAACCACCAGGAAAATGCAAACAAGATGACAATGAGAAACCGCTTTATACTAACTAGAATGGCTACCAAAAAAAGACAGACAATGACAAGGATATAGAGAAACTGGAACCCTCATTCATTTCTGGTGGGAACGTAAAACAGTGCAGCTTTAAAGAACAGTTTGGAAGTTACCATATGAACTAGCTACTTTACTCCTAGGTATACATCCAAGGAAAACAAAAACATGTCCCCACAAAAATGTACAAACAAATGTTCTTAGCTGTGTTGCTCACAAAGAGCCAAAAAGTAGAAACAACCCAAATGTTCATCAACCGATGAATGGATAAAGAAAATGCTTTCTATCTATACAATGGAATATTACTCAATCATGAAAAGCAACAGAGCACTGATATGTTCTATAACATGAATATGCCAYGAAAACATTAAGCTAAGTGAAAAAAGCCAGACACAAAGGACAAATACTGAGTGACTCCATTTATATGAAATGTCCAGAATAGATAAATTCATGGAGACAGAAAGTAGATTAGTGATTGCCAAGGGCTGAAGAGGAAGGAAAGGAAAATAACTCTAAATGTGTATAGGGCTTCTTTGTGAGAAGATGAGAATGTTCTAAAATTAGATTGTGGTGAGGGTTGTACGACCTTGAGATTATCCTAAAATCATTAAATGGTACACTTCATATGGGTGAATTGTATGTTATGTGCTTATATCTCAATAGAGCTGTTTAAGCATAATAAAAATCCAATCTAGCTGAGARTGGCTGTAGCTAATTCAACACAAGGCAATAGAATGTCAGGGGATCTCAGGAAATTCTCAGGCCCTAATGTAAATGATAAAAAGGTGAAACTGGGGGCTGCAGTTGTGGCTCAGCARTAGAGCGCTAGCGTAGCATGTGTGGGGCCCTGGGCTCAATCCTCAGCACCACATAAAAATAAATAAGTAAAATAAAGGTATTGACAACTACAACTAAAAAATAAATRTATTTTTTAAAAAGGTCAGACTRTTCAGAAGCAGGCTACTGTAATAAGACAGGCCCTCATACAAAATTCCTCCCAGTAGGCAAAACGTACCACCAACCACGAGCTTCGGGAATCTGACTTGAACCTCACTGTCCTCAACTGCGGGCCAACTGGGACCAGTTGGGAATCTCTCATGGCAGGTGCTGTCCTTGATTGACTGAAACACATGGTACTGCCCCTCAAGTAGCCAGGGCACAGGGATGCCTTACCTACTTTCCTAAAGGAGAGGCATGTGGCACTTGTTTCATGTAGGGCATGTGGCTGGGAGTGACATTCACTCTTCAGTCAAGTGCCCAAGAAGTTGCCAAAGGACAGGAGACAAAACAAGAGAAGAGTGGGAATTCCTAGTGATTGTGGAGTATGAGGCTAATAAATGGCTCTTAAAATGGTTCTTGACCCAATTTCTGGGTACAGTGGCTTAGTCATGACAACCCGTGACTAACAAGGAGGAAGTTAGGAGGATGAGTACCAGCCTCTCTCTCCTCCCTACCTTGCGTCTCTGCTGTTCCTTTCTGATGACTGCATCAAACCAGAGACCAGAAAGCATCCGGGCCCATGGATGAGTCCCCATGGGTCAGCCCCCTGAGGACCAGCAGGGTAAAGGTAGGCAAAGATGAATCTGCTGGACCAAAGGAGTTCATATGGTATAATTATGAAATGCTCCAGAATTTGGAAGTCACAAATCATCCAATGGACCTTCAAGTACTCTGAGCATTACAGTGCAAGGAATACTAAGTGAGCAGACCCGGTTAGAAAGATAAGACCCAGTCACTTGGCAAGACAATTATGATTTCAAAAGAGAATATATGTTCAAATACATAGAAGACACAATAAAGGCCAAAGGAGTTCATAGAAAGGAGAAACCTCTTTTGCAGTGGAGTGACAAGGGAAGAGTTCCTAGGTCAGAATTTTTATTTGCTTCTAGTCAAAGGCCAAGACTCACAGTACAAACAATAAGTACAATGTAATCTTTAAAATGAACTATGGAGACAAAACTACCCACATGGAATAAAGGGAAACTAGACTTCTGAGCATAGACATCAGTAGATATTTAGGCAGAGCTGCATAAAGAAGGCATCTAATCAATCTGTTGCTGTCATTTGACTGATGCACCTCTAAAATGTCTTCCCTATGCAAGGGAGTGAAGAACTTTGATTTCCTTGAGGAGCATCATAACAGAATCAAGAGCAAGACTTTGGTGATCAAGGGCCTAGATTTGAAATATTCTGCTATTTCCACAGACGTGTGAACTGGGAAAGAAACTTCATCTCTTTGTGTCTCAGTTTCCTCACCTATAAAATAGAGATTAAAAATAGAGCATACCTGATAGTGCTGTTATAAAGATTTAAAACACACAAAAAGCACTTTCAATTGCTATTCTTTTGAGGTGATCATTTTGGGGGGGGCAGAGTACCAGGGATTGAACTCAGGGGTACTCAAGCACTGATCCACATCCCCAGCCCAATTTCGTATTTTATTTAAAGATAGGGTCTCACTGAGTTGCTTAGTGCCTTGCTTTTTCTGAGGCTGGCTTTGAACTTGCGATCCTCCAGTCTTAGCCTCCTGTGTCGCTGGGATTACAGATGTGTGCCACTGCCCCTGGTCTAGGTGCTCATTATCAACTATTACTACTACTACTGGTAGTACTACTACTAATAGTAGTAGTAGGAGTACTATTCTTGAATTTATCCTAGCAAATTTATCCTAGCAAACTTATGCTAGCAAACTCAAATTTATCCTAGCAAACTTCTGCTGTAATTCCAAACACAGAGCTGAATCTAAGATCTTATACAGTTGAGAGGTACCACTGTTATGTCTTTTCTTGTTCAGTACTGAGCATTGCTGGGAAAGAGATTATTTATAGGAAGTTCAGATTATCTAGTTTTGTGATCAGGTTTAATTAGCTTTTTCTACCTTGTAATGTAAAAGTGCAAGCTAAATTTGAGACTAGAGCCTATTTGAATATGATCTGGAAGATCTTGGCTATGTTTCCTAAAGTCTACTTTATAGAACAAATCCCATGGGAAGTTAATAAGTGTTATTGTTCGAAAGTTCCATGCTGAAATAAGTTTGAATAACTCAAGATTAAAACAAAGTTAATAAATTCTTTTAGACAGATGTATGCTTTGCATCTCAAGAGGGAAAGACATACTATGGGATCCTCTGAATTTATTGGACGGTTGGTTTAAACCTTTCTTCTCCTTGAACTGTTGAGACACAGGGAGGGACTTGGAGAACATTGGACCATAAAACTGGAAAAGAGGTTAAAACAAAAACCTAGTTAATTACCTTTGAAAACCCTGTTATGGGATGGTGTCATGGAGGTGATGTGATTTGATCTAGATCTTGAAGGGCAGATGGGAAGGACAACATGAAGAGCAGACTAGGCAAAAGAGTGGTGTGATAAAGGCACACATGGGAGGAAGTGGTGACTTCAGGGCCTGTGCCACATAATCCTGGAAAACAACCAGAGGCAACGCTGTGGCAACCCTTGACTGCCAGGTCAAGGACATCAAAACTCCGACAGGTGGGGCTGGTGTTGTGGCTCAGTAGTAGAGCACTTGCCTAGCATGTGTGAGGCACTGGTTTTGATTCTCAGCACCACATATAAATAAATAAAGGTCCATCAACAATTAAAAGGAATTAAAAACAAAACCAAACAAAACTCCAACAGGTGATGGGCAGCCGAAGCTCATGATGTGAGCAGCAAAGTAACATAATGAAAATTGCTGAATTGGGGAAAATTAACCTAGCCAATATGTACAATGTGAACCAAAGGAAGGGAACAGAAACGGGACAAAAGTAAGCATCTATTTCCGTGTTCCAGATCAGAGCTTCCAGTGGGTGCACCCAGACTGGGTTACAAGTATGTCAATTTTTGGATGCTTGTGCCCACCTCTGCGGCCTTCTAGGGCCTGGGTGGAGCCGAGCCATTTTCCTCCAGCCCTGTAACCCCATTACACAAAGTGAATGATGTTATTTTTTGTGTGTGTGCCATGAAACTAACGAGGTTGTAGAGCACTAGTCTAGTTATAAAGATCTGACTAGGCCAATGACATTAGCAATGCAAAGAAAGGATGGCTGGCAGGTGCCCAGATACTCACMCTTGAATCTTCCTGCAGAGGAGAAAGCAGGCATCTACATTGTCCTCCAATGGCTGGAAGTATGGTTTTCAAACCCAGAAACTCCAGGAGGAAAAATAGTGGTGACAACCAGAAACTTGCAACATCTCACAAAGAGGAACCCCAAAGAATGTGGACTGAGTTAACTATCATGGTTCAAGAAGAGCTTCTAACACTTGCTGTTGATCTAGGGTTCTGTGAGTAGGTCAAGGGTGCCTGGATAACATGTCTCCTTCCCTGTAAGCAAACAGCCTCTCAGGTTGCAACATCCTTCACTGGCTAGCCGGCAACCTGTGTTTTTCAAGGTGGTAAGAGATGTCACTTCTATCTTCCTTCAATTTTGCTCCAAGATGCAAAGACCCTTCCCTGAGTCAAAACTCAGGTAGACACCTCCCACCTGTAGAGGGAAGCTCTGGTTGTGTTCTTTCAGCAAGTCTCTCCTCTGCTCAGCTCTTCATMGCTGTGGAGATGCAAGGAAAGAACAAAAGTCTTATTACCTGAAATGTATCATTGTGATTTTTTTTTCTAAGGTGGTAGGCTAGTATTTGAAGCCATTTAAAAGCCATATTCTTTCTGTCTCTCACTCCTTGCATGGTAGTCACCACATTGGTGACATCTTCTTGGGTGCCTGTGGTCTTGCCTTCCTGACTCTTCCACATTCTATGAAGGTATCTAATTGGCATCCCCTTCTGTTTTTGTTGTTTGTTTGTTTTGTTTCCCTCTAGGCAAAATGAAGAAGCCAGTGCTAAGGTGAAGGTGAGACTGTATTGAACTACAGAGGAGCAGAAGGTCACATGGCTGGATTTCCTTAATGTGTAAGTCTAGAAACCACCACAGACAGACCATTTTCAGATGATATTACCCTGGAATCCTTTAATGAAAATTTCATGTTATGCATACTGCCTTTATTGGGATTCATCTGCATTTGAAGATACTGGCCTTATGTTATTTATTTTAATAAATAAAACCCGTGTGTTCACTGTTTTAGATTTTGGTAGTATGAAAGTTTGTCTCTGCTGACAGATGGTCGTGCTTCCTTTCCTAAGCTAATGCGAACTGTAACTCACGGTGTTTCTTTTTATACCTTGGAAGTCAAGATGCTCAGAAATGAAGTTTTGTGCTTATTTGCACCAGTTTTACAAAAAAAATTCCTCTTTGTTATGCAGCTTTTATTCTTTTTATCTTTATTTTCAAGAGTTTTTCCTTCCCTATTTATTTAAGTTTCCTTGAGTTATTTTCCGAAGAAGCTTGGGGATAGATAGAAACATAAATGGATGAGTGCATGGGTGTGAGGGGGTAAAAGATATGTGGGCAGATAGATAGACATGCACACCCACACCAATTGGACTCAGCTGTGAGTGAGGGAAAGCCAGACTCCAGGTGAGTTTCCTTCCTTTCTGATCTTCCTTTCAGGATCATTTCCATAGTATGTTAACTGACTTCCTTTGTACCATGAACCTACCTTGTCTTTCATTGATCCAGTGCTTTCCATTTCTATCAATATTATGAAAGGCTATGTAGCATAGTAACTAAGTATGGCTGCAGGATCAGAGTAAGGTTAAGATTCCAACCTAGCTACTGTATCTGTATAAACATAAGAAGCTCTACTTCTATTTCCTTATTTGTAAAACAAGGATACCAGGCATGGTGGTGCAGGCCTGTGATCCCAGAGACTCTRGAAGCTGAGGGGAGGAAGATGTCAAGTTCTAGGCCAACCTCCTCAAGATCCTGTCTCAAAATAAAAAATAAAAAGGGCTGGGGATGTAGCTCAGTGACAGAACACCCCRTGCCACAACAGCATTTCCTATATCACACAGTTGTTCTGAAGTTCAGTTAGACAAGGTGTGTAAATAGCTGAATGTGGTCCACCCATCACACAGCAAAGTTTCCATGAAATTGGTCTTTATTATTACTCCATGAACACTACCCTCCCTTCATTTTCTCTGATGTTTCCCTAAGTACTCATCATCAATGTTTAGACCGTTGTGGTAGCCTTCTAATTTGTCTTAGAATTAAGAACCCTCTAGCTGAAAGGCATTACAAATTCAACACCCTTATTCTACAGGTATTACCTAAAGATCCTTTGGCAGGGGGCAGATCTGAGGACAGAACCCAGAGCCTCTCGCTTGGTGCACTCTACCTGTGAGCTACATACCCAGCCCCTAGAGGTCCTTGACACGAGAAGTGTCATGCTCATCATGAGGTAGCATATGATGTGGTTTCAGCTCAGTGGGGGCTTACCCTTGTCTAGGTATGATTTGTGAACCATTGATCACCTTAAGCTTTTATGAACCACCTGAGAAGGAAACTCAAGCTATGCCCACTGCTCAGGTGTTTCTGACAATCCRTGGGGTGGCCTGTGAGGAGAGCTTGCCTGAAGGACCAGAACTCCTCCACAGGGGAGAGAGTTCCAAGTTTGATGAGGCCAGACCGAAATAAAACAGGCAGAGAACTAAGATTTGAAGAGACTGAGCTCCAGTCCAACCCCCTGCATGCAAGTCTAGATCTGAAGGAGGCTGGGCATGGTGGGGCAAAGTCCTGCAATCCCAGTGACTTGGGAGGTAGAGGCAGGAGGATCTCAAGTTTGAGGSCAGCCTTAGCAGCTTAGTGAGACCCTGTCTCAAAATCTAAAATAAAAGAACTAAGGATATAGGTCAGCAGTAAAAAGCCCCTAGGTTCAGTTCCTAGTTTAAAAAATATATATATATGGGGGGAGGGAGGGAGGGAGGGAGGGAGGGAGGGAGAGAGAGAGAGAGAGAGAGAGAGAGAGAGAGAGGATCAATATAAATAAAAACTGAAGGATCTGGTCACATTAGGATCTGTTACACATTAAGATTCAAGTAACATGTGGGTAGAGAATTCCTTCATGCAAAGGGAAGGCTGTCATCTGTTCTCACTCTCCTAGACCCCACAGCTAGCATTGCCTCTGAGGGTTTGGGCTGTTTGCTCAAGAAGTGGAGCTTCAAGAGGGAACTTGGGAGCAAGTGGATGGGTGTACTAGAGAGAGGCAGGACCTGTGGGGCCTAGTGGGAGGGGGCACACACCTGTGAGACCTTCTGGAACTCCTCCAATTATTTGGGGTACAGGCCTGCTTTGTAAGAACTTGGGATACTGCATTGTATATAGGAGTGAGTTATCCAGACAGTCAAAGTGGAATATTTATGATCATGTGAAGACTCTTTTCTCTGCAGGTACCTGGGACTAGGAAAATATGGGAGAGATCACTTTCGGGTAGGTTGGAAGGTGTCTGCCTCTCAGGAAAGAGCTGTTCTTTCAGATCTTCTGCATACTTCAGGTCTACCCCTAATCCATTCTTCTTTTGGTCAGAGTTCAGTGAGCTTTCTGAGGGACAGATTGAATTGTGCCACTCTTTCTCCCAAAACTTTGACTCACTCTCTGCCCTTCAGAACGATCTTCAGACTCTTAGTGTGATATTAAATGTCCATCTTGCTAATGTCCTAAACCTCAGAATATCCTGAGGTCTTTATTTAATTAATTATCATTGTTATTATTTCTGCAGTGGTAGGGATCGAATCCAGGGCCTTGCGCATGCTAGGCAAGAGCACTACCATTGAGCTACACCCCTGGCCCAGGCCTTCATTCGAATCCACATTCTGCAGTTTGCTGGGATGTCCCAGGGGCCCCACAGTTCCAAGGCCTTAATCCATACCTGGTGTAGCATCTAGGAGGAATGTCCCTGGAGTGCCATGACCCAGGCAGGACAAGACCTCAGCCGCCGATGCATGCAGGGTTAGTGTAACAGCCAGAGAGCACCCACTATTYCAAAGTCTTCTGACAGAACTGTGCTCACCACAGGGCCTTTGCTCTTTGTGGTCTGAGGTTGAGCACCCCTCCTTCCCACTCCATATTACTTCTCTCATCTATTCAGAATCATTTCCTCTTATAATCTAATAAGATATTTATTTAAATGACTCCAACTAGCTCCTTACAAACTGAGACTAGCACATTCATTTTTCCTATCATCCACTGTATCTGGTTCAATGCTTTGCAGATAGACAAAATGTTTTATAAACGTCTGCTGAATTAATGAATTGCAAACTTGATTTTTATCATTCACTTTTGAGCAGGAATGTTAGATAAGCTGTTGCCTCCTGCAAAAGGATTGAAACCTTTTCTTCAATTATTTTCCTCCATTTCTGCAACAGAGTGTTTTAGAGGTTCCCACATTAGTGGGCACTTAGGAGGTTTTGGGACCCTTTGAGGCCCTTTCCAGAGCCCGGGAAACCATGCCCATCTGGTTGGACACTCCGTCAGGCCATGTTCCTTTCCAAATGTTCCCCTCTGAAAAGAAAAGAAAGAGCAAAGACTTTTTAGTGGCTAGTTTTAAACAGGCGGAACTACTCTGCTTTCCTAAGCATCTCTCTTCCTTACCCCTGATTATGGCCTCCAAACCAGCAGCCAAAAATATAGCATGTGGAAAAACATGAGAAGAAAGCAAAACCAGAATATTTCAACCTTTGGAGGGGGAGGAAAAAAAAGCCTTTCATTATTTTCTCTCTGTTAAATRTCAAGACATTAACTAAACTAATCAATAATTATTTAGGCCCATGTTCTAGGCACTATGCTGCCAATGATTTCATGCTATGGATGAAAATACCCATTTGTATTTATTCCTTTAGACATGTGTGCCTATGAGGACAATAAAACAAACAAATACACTTCAAGGCCCATTAAAATCACCTTATGTGAGATTTTCATTCTCTAGTGGTATGTAAGTCAGCTTTCCATTACTGTGATAAAATACCTCACATAATTAACTTAGGAGGAGAAAAGGTTTGTTTTGGCTCACAGTTTCAGAGGCTTCAGCCCATGGTTACTTGGCACTGTTGCTTTGCTTTGGGCTTGTGTTGGCACCGTACATCATAGTGGAAAGTTCATGGCAAAGGAGGCCTGTTTATCTCATGGTAACAGGAAAGCAAAGAGAAACAGGATAGGGCTGGGGTCCCAATGACCTAACTTCATCCAAGTAGGCCCCACCTCTTAAAGGTACAATCATCTCCCAAAGCAACATGAGTTGGGTACTAAACCTTCAACACATGTGCCTTTGGAGGACATTTCAGATACAAACCACAGCAGTTTTTGCTGATGCTCACCAGTGTCTACTATGCTCCTCTTCAAAGCCCATAGAGTACAATTCCCAGACTTATGCAGTCAGGTGTAGCCATGGGACTGCATTCTGTCCATTGGGATCGGTACACTCTGAAGAGTGACTCTGTGCTCCCTTCCTGATTCACTTCAGTCTTGTGGGTCACATGTCGTAGTGTGAAGCTACAGGTTGAAGAAGAATTACCCAACCTACAATAGAACATAACACAAGTAAAATATCATTTTACTTTTATTAAGCCACTGACATTTGTGGTTTATTGGTTAGCATGGCCTTTTGATTAATATTTGTTCCCCAATTAAGTGTCTTCTGATTTGCTCTTTTTTCATTGTTGTTGTTAAAATTCTTTCTGAAGGTCCCTGTGTCTCTTTGTCCACATCACAAATCTGGCACAATGAACCATCCTGAGAAGAAATACAGATGCCCCATTATTATTTTCTCTGATGCTTGTTCATCTTCAACTTTCCATGATCTGATCCAGGTGGATTTCTTGTGAGTCTTCTGACACCAAAAAACACATTTTCCTGACTCTATTTCTTGTGTCTTTCCCTAGAAAGTTCATCAGGACCTTATTTCAGCTCCACAAGTCTGGATTTTCCTAATAAGATTATTAAAATTAAAGTCTACAGACAACAGCTCTGCCTTACTGGAATAGTTCTCATAACAAA